CACTTAGGATCGCAACGTCCTCGTTGCGCCCTTAAACCAATCTCAATCATCCCAGAATCTTGCCCCGCTAAGTGCCGCCTGATATCCAACGGATCAGCACACTGTCGCAGGGTTGCTCTGATACCACCTGTAACACTCCGGCCCCACCGGACCCGAGGTAGTTACTCCGGACCAATAGTACTGTCCCCACAAACCACCACGAGCCTTTACCACGCACTTTGTCCTCACTCATGCGCGCCCTGAGAAACTTCCCAGGGGGTCACCCATCCCAAGACTACTCCCGAGCAAGCACGCTTAACTTTGGAGTTCTTAGGTAATGAGCTCCCTTAAAAGGAGATGCACCTCTGTTGGTATGAGTAGTACTATTAATCCATTTATATTAAATCTCTAGTGTTACAGCTTAGTTCATAGTTGGAGGTTAGAACTTTCTTGTAACATTTCACAAGTGGTTGTAAACACTTAGGAGAACAGTTGTTCGGATCCTAAAGTGTAGTTAGATAGATAGAGTACCTTTTAATCCCCACTGGATCATTAGAGAAAAGTCTAAGGACTGAGTAACGTTGAGTGGTGTCATACTCATTGTGAAAAACCTTCAATCTAGGCCTAAGTGTTGTAAAGGCTAGATTGTCACTAAGTGTATTAGGCTTAATACTTTAGTGGAAATCCATCTGAAAGAGGGTGGGACTGGACGTAGGAGGATTACACCACCTCTGAACCAGGATACATCGTGTGTTGATCTACATTCATTCAACAAAGCACACACCAAACACCTCTCACTAAAAGGATCGTAGTTTGCCAGCAGCATCCTAAGCAGTAGTCTTAATTGACTTTACTGCTTATCCTACTGCTTAATAACTCACTTTTCCTTGAGACAACTGCTTCACACTAGCTTTGAATATCACTACTAAAAGGTGTGGTTTGTCAGTCCTCAAAGATACTTCATTCATACGCAGCAGACGGCTTAGCAGTTTCCTGGGTTCACCCAACTGCTCAGACCCCTGCTCAGTCAAAACATCTTATTTTCTCCATCTCTACACATGTTCAGTTAGCCCTCATCACTCTGTACAAGGCTATATAATCATCTCTTTCAAACTACTGTTTTCCACTAGCAGTTACCTCAACAGTTCCCTGCTATCTATTCAACTGCCAAGCTAACTGCCAAGTCAACTGCTAGCTATCTAAGTCCAATCTTCCCCAAATTAGAAAGTCGTCAAACTCTTATTACATAAAGGGTAAAGACTTCCGCTGTGCATCTATTGATCTCTCAAAAGATTATAGATCAACTTCTTTAGAGGGAAAACATTGAAAAAGATTTAAAAGTCTATTCACCCCCCCTCTAGACTTTTACCCTATCCGGGACCATCAGTATGATACCTAAATTTACAGATTCTTCAATCTGGAAGAGGATGTGCTCTGTGCAGGAACAAGCTTCAGACCTATGTTCCATTGATTCTGCTGGAAAGTTGACCTAGAATGAGACAGAAGATGGTCAATTCACATTTAGGTCTGCATTTGAAGAAGTTAGAGAGTTATCTTTCAACTCATATTCCAATCAACAAATTTGGGATAATAAGCAAGAACTTAAAGTTCAGCTTTTGCAATGGAAGATTAGTTGATAAGTCCGTATTTAGACACACATTTGATGCGTGTTGGGATTAGATTTTGATGGTTTTACTAGCTTTAAGGTGTTATAAGTCTCAATTTTAGCTCAAGTTATGTTTACTAGGCGTTGGTTCGAGTTTTGTGTCATTTGGAGTCAAAATCAAGAATTTAGAGTTCGGCACCGGCGCTTGAGAAGCAATTGGGATGAGTTGAGAAGCATTCGAGAGTGAATTGACAGCAGTGGAGTTCAACGGGATGTTTACGATGAAGATTTGATGACAAACGAGCTCTAGGATTGGTTATGAGATCAAAAGAAGATGAATAAAGCTTGAAAACGGCATTCAGGATGACCTTCTGTCAATCGTTCAAGCATATCTCTTTGTAGAAGCATCCAAAGAACACGATTCAAAGTCCACATGAAATCCAACTTCAAGAGCTACAAATCATATGAATACATCATTCCGAGAATCTGAGAGGAAGAAGATGAAAATAGACAATGAATACATCATTCGTTGGGGGATGCACGCCGCGCGTTCCATATTTTTATGCGGCTATGCTCCGGACGCACTAGGGGACACACGCCGTGCGTTGCCCCTGGAATCCTAATTTCGCTCAAATTTCACCCGATTTTTCTATTTAAACAGCCTGTAAACCCCCGTTTTCAAAGGCGGAGCTTAGAGAGAGTGCCTAGCACGAATTTTAAAGGGCTTTTCAGCCTTGTTCATCAATCTTTTGGGATTCTTTGTAAGTTCCACCTTTTTAAATAATGAAAATTAATTCTTTTTATTCCAATTCTATTGATTCTTCAATTATGAATTGTGAGTAGTTTTAATTAGCGATTTGGGATTGATGAAGGGGTTGATCATGATGTATGAATGCATGAATGCCATTTAATTTGTGTTTGAATAAATTAATTGATATCTTTTGTAACCTAGATGGCCACTAGAATTACAATTGCATGTAGAATAAATTAAGAGAGATCTAATTTATTCTAGGACACATTCACACACACTTAACGTTCGCTAAGAGATTAGTAGCGATTAAGGGGCCGTAAGCTCGCTCGTCTTGCAATAATTTAGGATTCTGTCGCATGAGAGATCAGCCTGGTCCCCTAAATTATTGTACTCTACGTCGCGAGAGCGGTAAGAACTTAGTAGTGATTAGCTAGGCTCAATTAAATTAATTTCATATAATTAAGCCTGATCTGCCAGAAATCTGGTTACCCCGGAATCAATCCCTGTTCCCTTCGTCATTAATTAGAAAGAACCCCCTAGTTTAATCATTTTATTCGCAGTTTTATTTTCCAAACCAATCAATCTCGCACGACGCTTTTATTTTATTTTCTTTTTAACCGCTGAATTTAATTAATTCTTGATTCCTTTTTGTCCGTCCCTATGGGGACGATACTCGTACTTACACCACTATATTACAATCTATTATAAGTGCGAGAGAACTCACATCAGTTTTTGGCGCCGTTGCCGGGGACAGTGTCAGTTTTAAGGGTTAATTAATTTCAGCGAGATTTTTTTAGTTAGTTTTCTTTTTGTTCTTCGTTGGATTTTTTCTGTGCTAACCTTTCAGGTATTTTTCTAAGAGGCATGAGATGAACCCATTCAGCCAAATTCCTGGAGGAATTCCTTACCCTCAAACCTCCATGGAATATTCACCATATACGTCATACCCTCCTTACACTCCTCCTCCTCAATTTTACACACCGCACCAAAATTATTCTCCAACACCACAAAAGTTTCCATCTTCCTATTCTTACCCTCTTCCAAATACGCAATACTCCCAATCTCATTCTCCTAATCAGTATCCTTATGCACAATATCCTCGGACAAAACCAGGCTCCATTATGGAATTCCTCATTCAAACTAAAAGTCCCGAGGAATTGGTTGATTGTTTTCCTAAAAATAGCATTTGTTCCTTCTGTGGAGGTGGTCACCATTCATGTCTTTGCCCCATTCCTCCATACGACCATCCTTACTGGGCAACTGCATACCCCACTTCTTCCTCCCCACAATTTACGGACACAAATGTTTCAGCCACTCCTACATACTTCCCGAGTAATGAGCCTCATAATCAACAAGAGGATCTAGAGGAGGCAAATTTAAAGAGGCTTTCTGACTTGAAAAAGACAGAATGGAGTCCGAGAATGGATAATTTGAGTCATACAACAAGAGGTCATACAATTCACGCGGACATCTTCAGCCAGAATGGATAATTTGAGTAATCAATTGGATCAGCTAATAAACACCCTGTTTGAGGAGTCCGAGAGATACCATCATAGCGATACAAAAGCCCAACCAGAGGAGACTAATAGGGATGATCATGTGACTGAGTCAGACTGCGAAGGTGGGAATATGATGGACGATACACTTCCAGATATTTTTGAAGACCCACCTATGTTTGCACTTGAACAAGACGATAGTAGTGATGTCCATACAGAAACTCACCAGCCGTTTTGTGACACCGCACCCGAACGTCCTTGAAAATTCAATTTAAAATTTAAATTTTATGTATTGAATTTCCGATTTCCAAACAATTGTAAAACGATTAATGTTTTACGTAGTGTATGATTGAATATCGTACTGTTAAAACTCGTATATTGGTGTCGGGTTTTGCAAATACTTATTCGGGACTTATTAATAAATAAAAGAGCCCAACATTATCTAAATAGTGATACATAATCTTTCAAAACAATTTGAGGAAGGACGGGCGGCCCAAACATTATTTTAGGCCCAATCTGCTAAAAATAGCAAGTATTCGAGAATGGCGTCCTAGACCCACTCGGGAGTGACCCACACGGCTAGTAGCCCAATAATATGAATGACAAATGTCAAAATAAGTGATAGAATGATTAGAGAAGAATACAAATGCCTATAGCCCCATCTTTGGCATTATTGAGCTAAATAATGGGAGTATGATTTTCCTTCTATGATATCCATCAAGTAAATTATTGAGATGAGTCTACACATATTGGAGATCAATAATGTGATGTAGGAAGTTGACTTGTTCTAAATAAATTAGGATGAGTACAAAAAGACATCTTTGACAAGAGATAAAACAATAGGACTCATCTTCCCATTTTTGGAAGTATTGGTAGATATTTTGGACCCCAAATGGAATGGGATCATTTGGACACCATCCCACATGGCTTGAGTACCTGAAAGACAAAAGAAATGAGGGTTATTGACCTCATGGGGCGGACTTTGGCTCACCTACTCAAAACAACTTCAAGAGAAAACAAAAACAAAGGAGGTCCACCCCATATTTGTTCACAAGCCAAATATCTTCCCATGCCCTCTTGTAAGCCACATGATTTATCATTTTTTTTAGAGATATTAGTCACCTCCACAACCCCCATTCGAACTCCCAAGATAAGAGAGAAGGAGAGAGTCACATACTCCAAGGGAGAGGTGAAGAGAGAAGCTGGCCGCAGGATTCGTTTTCCAGTAGATAGGGTTACTTGTTTGATCCATAACGTGAGCTTCACTCGTCCAAATAAGGCGTATGATATACCAAAAGAAAGCTCTCAAGACTAGGAATCCGTGAAGGTCTGGTTTGCAGAAATCGGAGTAGTGGAAGGCTTCCAAATCGTCCGAGCAAAACACAACCTCGCAGGAGAGGATTTAATCTTCTAAAGAAACGAGTTAGCCGGAAAACACCCATTCTAGGGGCTGTTTTCGTATCAAATATTAGGCGTTGAACTAGCACTTTGAGGGGGCTGTTTAACACTCATTTCTAAGCAAGGAATCAGTTCTCAAGCTCCCTTGGCCGAGGCTTTGGTCATTGGATCGAGAAGGAAAATTTTAAAGCTCATTTGAGGTGAGGATTGATATCTAATTGCTTACAACTTGTAGGTTAAGCATGAGATTGCCTAAATGCCTAAATCATAATTTTTCATGGATTATTATGATTAAATATTGATGAAATATGGATATAGTTCCCAAAGAATGAAATTGGAAATGATTTGAGGATGTATGAATAATATGAGATTAAATGAGTTATAAATGAACTATTTTGTGAAATAGGGATTTTACTCATGTATGAGTTATGTGGATACATAAATGAATATTTATGTATTGAAATTGAATGCTTAATTTGCTGCTACATGCTTATAAATATGTAGAGAATTACAAAACGAGAGTATTTGTATGATAACAATAATCTTAATAGTATTGAAATACTAGTTAGTGATTATTGGAAATTATTGATAGAATTGATCCTAGGGATTGGATTGTATGAAATGCACTTGAATATACTTCAAGTGTATATGATGACTTAGTATGAAACTAAGGTTAAGTGGTGGAAAGTCTTTAAGGATGACCCATGGTAGTTTATTTATTTTTTTTTTATTTTTTTTTACCCCGGAAGGTCAACCACCAAAATCAGTGGGGTAAATGCCAGGGGAACATTTACCAAGTTTTATTAATGAGAATTCAGTACAAAGAAATTCGAGGGGACCAAACCTTACCCGATAAATAATAAAACAACAAGAGTTCAGTATCTAAAAGAAGGAATGCCATAAAAATCCATCCAATAAGAACGTTTAACAAAAATGGGAAGCTGATCAATCTGAGAGTAAATTTTCGGGCTGTCCACTGCAATTTGGGCCAAGTGGTGAGCGGCCCAATTACCTTCCCGCAAGGTATGTCTGAATGTGATCCGCTTACTAAAACAAATCTGTGTAGTTGCCTGAATTCTATCTTCCCATCTGCGACCTACCTTACCCTCGATATACTCCAGAGCAAGAGCTGAATCTGTTTCCACCTGAAAGCTTTCAAAACCAAGGTCAATCGCCCAATCTACTGCAAAGAATATCGCACGGAGTTCAGCATCCAAGGGAGATGAAGCCTGCACCGGAAAACTGATCGCCGACCGCAAACCTCCATTTTCATCACGCATAATAGCTCCGCCAAATGCATTCCCAGATAAGTAGCTAGCATCCACATTAAGCTTACACTTTTTGCTTGGCTTGACCCACTTGATTATCTGCATCCTAAAATGTTGAATTGTGAAATTTCTGGGAATAAGCCCTTCATCCGCTAAAACGTTCCCAATTTCTCTGTATGTTGAAATAGAAATACCAGAAATCCAGGATTGGGATTGTCTCCTCCATTTCCCCAAATAATACTCGAATAGGTTTTCCAGATGAACCAACAAATGATTCCAGGCAGATTCTTTCTGAAAAGATCAATTAAGCTTTTTTTTCCTGTATCATGCCTCCATAACAGGAAATTTCCATAATCCATATCATTCCGTTGAAAAATATTACAAATACTCAAGAAGTATTTCCAAACCGGAGTACTAATTGGGCATTGAAAGAAAACATGTTTCATAGTTTCAATGTTTCTTCTGCAAAGAGGACACCTAGAAGGATCAAGTACATAGTGAAATCTGCTCAGATTATCCACAGTTGGGATGATGTTTTTACTAATCTTCCATTGCAAAAGTTTAACCTTGAGTTCCTGCTTGTTTTCCCAAATTTGTTGATTGGAGTATGAGTTGAAAGAAAGAGCTCTTATTTCTTCAAAAGCTGATTTAAATGTAAACTGACCATCATCTGTTTCATTCCAGATCAATTTCCCTGTTGAATCAATGGAACACAAGTCTGAAGCTTCTGCATGAACAGAGCAGATTCTTTTCCATATTGCAGAGTCTGTAAACTTAGGTATCATACTTCCATCCCGGTCATACCTAGATTTCATAAACTGAGTCCACAAGTTATCCCCTGTTTTGTATTTCCACCACAACTTGAGAGCAAAGGCTTTTTCCAGGTCACAGAGAGATCTAAACCCCAAACCCCTTCCATAGTAGGTAAACAAAGTTTGTCCCACTTAATCCAGTGATATTTCTTCTTTTCATGGGAAGAACCCCAGAAAAAAGAAGCCATTTTACTGTTAAGGACCTTAATGACTTTCTTAGGCAAAGTATCAACTGCCAGAATATGTAGAGGAATACAATTTAAGACATATTTGATGAGAACTAACCTTCCTCCTTGAGAAAGAATCTTCTGCTTCCAAGGGGAGAGTTTATTCTCAAACTGATTAATCAGATAACCACAATACTCAAATCTATTTATGCCTTTATGCAGGTGCACTCCAAGATATTTCATGGGTAGAGAAACCAATTTCATGCCCAAAAGATCTTTAATCCTTGAATGTCTGGAAGTATGAGCTTTTCCACAGATGAAAGAGCTTTTGGAAAAATTAATCATCTGTCCAGATGCTTCTTGATAGGTATCCAAAAAACTCTTGAAATTTAGCACTGATCTAGCATCTCCATTTATAAAAATAAGCAAATCATCAGCAAATCCAAGATGAGAGATAGCCAAACCATACCTGCCAGTCCAGTAAGGCTTAATCTTTTTATTTTCCATCAGTCTGTTTAAGCCCCTAGAAAAGGCCTCTGAAGCAATAATAAAAAGAAAAGGGGATAGGGGGTCCCCTTGTTTAACCCCTCTGGTAGGTTTAAAAAAGCCTTGTGGAGAACCATTAACCAAGATAGAGAAAAAAGAGGCCTTAAGATGATTCATAATTAGCTGAACAAAATGGGCGGAGAACCCAAATTTATTTAAAACATCAGAAAGAAATGCCCAGGAGACCCTGTCAAATGCCTTGGCCATGTCAAGCTTGATAATCAGATTGTTCCCCCTGACTTTCCTATCAATACTATGAACCAATTCTTGAGCAATCAAGACCTGATCGGCAGCTTCCCTACCAGCCATAAATCCAGCTTGTTCGTAAGAGATAATTTTAGGAAGAAGTCTTCTCAGTCTTGTAGCCAGCACCTTGGTGCAAACTTGACCAATAAAGTTTGACAAACAAATGGGTCTGAAATCATTATATGAAGAAGGTCTCTCATTTTTAGGAATGAGGATAATCAGAGTACTTGCCAGACCTTTAGGAATAGGAGTACCCAAAAAGAAGTCTTGAACTGCCCTAACAACATCCATGCCAACAATACTCCAACATTTTTTAAAAAACTTCCCATTAAAACCATCTGGACCAGGAGCACTGTTCTGATCTAAGTCCCAAACTGCTTGCTTAACTTCCTCCATTTCAGGCATTTTAATCAGATTATAATTATCATCTTGAGTAACTAATTGAGGAATGTGTTGCAGAATATTACTACTGGCAGAATCATCCTCAACAGATGGAGCATTATAAAGATCAGAGAAGAATGCCACCGCCACATCTGCAATGTCCTGAGGAGAGGAGAGCTCTTGCCCAGCTTGATTTTTAATAGAGGTAATACACTGCTGCCTTCTTCTGATTTGAGCAAAGGAATGGAAAAATTTTGTATTGCTGTCTCCATCTTTAATCCAACGCACATGAGCCTTCTGCTTCCAAAATTTCCTTTCCAGTTTATATTTTTGAGTCAATAATCCTTTTTTATAAAACCAGTCCTCTCTATTAGAATCAGAAGGATTTTCCTCAAATTTCATCTCAGCTTTCAGAACATCTTCTTCACACAACTTAATATTTTCAAAAATATTCCCAAAAGAAACTCTATTCCAGGTTTTGAGCTCCTTCTTCAGATTTTGTAATCTAGTAATAAGCCCCCTCATACCTCCTTGGTGCCCAACACTGCTCCATTTAGCCTTAACCAAATCCATAAACGTGTGATTGCTTAACCACATATTTTGAAATTTGAAGCTTTTAGGCCCAGACCAACCCACATTAGCACACTGAATAAGGATAGGATTATGATCAGAAGGAGTCTTATTCAGTAAAGATACCTGAATTTTGTCATACTTATCCAGAAAATCCTTATTGAAAAGCACTCTATCTAACCTTCTCCACACTCTTCCATTTGATCTGTTTCCTGTCCAGGTATACTTGGGACCAGAGTAGGGAATGTCCACCAAATTGCAATTAGCAATACAATCTGCAAATTCATTAATATCATAGATAAGAGGCAGGGAGGAGCCTTTGTGTTCATTATAACTGGCAATGGTATTGAAGTCTCCTCCTATCATCCATGGATCTTGAAGATTACAACTGAAGGTAGTAAGACCATTCCAGAGATCCCTTCTAGTTATATAACTATGTCTTCCATAGACCCCTGTAATCCATCCATTGTAAACAACACTATTCACTTTGAAGTGAACATACTGTTCATTCCAGGAGAAATCAGAAATGTCTAATTTAGATGAGTCCCAAAAGACCCAAATTTTATTAAGAGTAGAGTTCATAGCTTTATCAAAACCAAGCAAATGCTTAAAATGTTCCATCCTACTATCTGCCACAATAGGTTCAATGATAATGATAATCTGCAACCTCCATTGATTGACTAGGGAATATAGTCTAGAACTGGAGGATTCAAGACCCCTAGTGTTCCAAATTAGACAATTCATTGAGAACCATTGGCTCCCCCTCCTCCTCCCCTAGCTGCACTTTTAGTATTTCTCCTGTATTGATTTTCAACTGGAACTGTTTTCCTATCTGCTCCCTTACTAGTTTTGTTAATATCCTCCTCCTTATGCCTTACTGTAATGGTAGTTGCCTCACATGTTTCTATATGATCATTTGGTTCAAGCTGTGATTCCTGAAGAGAGTGATCTGATTGAATACCAGGATCATAGGAGTGCTTGACAATGTAATCAACACCCTTGCAGATACCAGACCATCCTTCCATGAAGGAGCTCGGATCAACAACCTGATCTTCTTCTCCATCTGAGTAGCACTCTCTAATTAGCAGAGGGGATGTGGAAAAGGTTTGAAACTTTCTGATGTGAAAATCGTCCTGAATTCCTCTAATTTCTTTAGGATCTGATTTGGAGATGCCGGGTATATTTGTTTCTAATAAAGATGCCATTTTGTTATGTCTTGTCTCTTCAGGTATGATGGATGATGGCATATCCTCGACATAAACATCCTCAACCTCAGAATCACTATCCAGATGAATTTCCTCCAAGACACCTTTAGAAGATGATTGTAAATTAGGATCTTGTACACTTCTGGCTTGTGGCATATCTGTGATCTGATCTTTCCCTTTCTCTTCTCTTGTAAATTTAACAAGATTAGATTTCTCCGTCTTCTGCACCCATTTTTCTTTATGTAAAACAATAGCTTTACCTTGGTCAGGTTGTCTTTTGGGACACTTAGACTGGGAATGTCCCAAATGAAAGCAGGCTGAGCAGTATTCCTGCCTATTTTCATAGACGATAGGCTGAGCAAATCCAATGGATCCACAATTAATCCATACTTTAGTAGGCATTTCCTTAGTGAGGTCGACTTCTACATATATTCTAGCCACCGCAGGCCGAGTTAGTTTAGCAGTAACTTCATCAACCTTTAAGGGTTTTCCAATCAAAGAAGCAATTTAAAAAAGGGCTGCTTTATCCTGAAGATGGATTGGCAGACCTTCCATAGCAATCCACAACGGGACAACCGGAGATTCAACATTGGGTTTAAATTCTGGAGTCCACTTGGTTACCCTCATAACATGACCTTGAACAATCCAAGTTTGCCTTGTCCAACACCGAATATAGTCTTCTTCCAAATCAAAACGGATCAAAACATGTTTGTTGTCTAAAACACCCAAGGAAAAGGAGCCCTTAAACCCAATTATTTCAAAAGCCTTACGAATAATCACTAAACTCGGTTTACCTCTAAAGAAATATCCCACCAGTGCACGTTTGTGCTTATCCGCAAGGTTCTGAGAATCGTTCTGATTAAAAGATATGGATGGCAATCCTTTAAATCTAGATTTTTCAGGCTTCAATACCGATCGATCAGCAACTACATCTGCAAAGGATTTGCGATTCCAGATATTGCCTCCACCAGGTGGAGGCGCCGCCGAGTCAGTCATGCTCACCGCCGAGACAAAGCCTCCTTTTTCTGATAGGACTGAAAATCCTATGTTCCATGGTAGTTTATTGATATGTCAATTCTAGGCATAGGGTTGCTTAAGAATTGGACCTTCATGCATGGTGATGTGATAGAGCCGAGCTCTAGGATGCATGGTAAGGTGGTAGACTTGTAGTCTATGTATTGAATAGCTAGATCCGAGCTCTAGGGCTTGCGTGGTGATGTGATAGAGCCGAGCTCTAGAACGCAAGGTAAGGACATTGACCCGAGTGACATCAATTGTATGGTGATGTAGTAGAGCCGAGCTCTAGAATACAATGTCATGTGTTAGGGTTGGACTCTACGAGTTGTCGTGGCGTATAGCCACGGGGAATGGGATGGTGATTTCTAAATGAACATGGGCCCACGGGCCGACTACTTGACTTTTACATAAAGTAAGTATATATTTAAACGGGGTAACTTAGGGTTACAAATCATAATGTACTATCACCCTATTTGAGGGTCTTGTGTTTGAAATACTTGTTGTATATCTATTAGATGCCTGCCACACCAGTACTTTATAGCCGTATAGAGTACTGACCCCTTCGGGGGCGTCCCACCACCATTTCAGGTTGAGGCTAGAGCTTGCATCCTGTGCTCGTTGATCGAGTGATCCCTCGGAGAGAAGACTTGGTTCGTGCTTCCTCCATTCTATTTGAAACATTAATAAATTTGCTCATGGATATTTTACTATAGAGCCTGCGTGCTCATGAATAGCCCTGTGTGGCTCTTTTGTTTTAAACAATGTTTCCGCTGCGTTATGAATTACTTATTATGTTTGTTTATGGATGTTATGTGTGTGAATGATATTCAAGACGCCTTGTATAATATGAATGTGTTGGACTGCGGTTGACTATTCGTATTGTACGGCGGGTTGTTGACGTGTCCTTGGAGGTCCGGGGCGTGACATGTTTGATTTACCAGTAGTCTTAACACCTGACGAGGAGGGCAAGGAGCAGGTCAGTCATGACGTTGATGCAGCCACTGAGGTAAGTTTGGGTATTGAAGATGAGTTGGGAATAGATGATTACAAGTTCCAAGAGAGTGGGGGTGAGATAGATGATGTTCATAATGAAGAAGTCCCGCTCCACAAGCAAGAATTCCCTTCTTGTACACATGCACCGGTCCACTCTTACGTGGTTTCAGATTTGGATTTCTTTGATCCATTCCTTGGTGATGATATTTCTTTGTGTGTGGAGAATGATCACAACTGCTTGGAGGATATTAATAAGAAGAGTGACAAAACGAATTGGGATGCATTCATGGGGAGTGATACAGAGTCTGGAGGAGAGGTTGTGAGTGTTCATGATATTTGTGGAGAAGAAAAAGACTTTTCTATGGTGCACATCGATCACGGTGTTGCTCCTAATCTTTGCTTTGAGACATCTTTTGAGCTTCCGGTGATACCTAGAGTAATCAAAGTTCTCACTCATGTTCCCTATCCACCTGAAGAGGATGAGAGTTTCATACTTCACTTCTGTGCTGATGAGGGTTATGAAGACCATGTGCTGCCTACGCATATTCGAGAATTTAAGAATCTGCGCCACCTAATGGCATTTGTTGAGGGGAAGCTGGAAATGTTGATTACTAGTGCACCATTACAGTCTTTGCTATTTGAGAGCTTACGAGGTATCGTCGGGCAAACGACGTTAAAAATAGCGCTTCTTGGGAGGCAACCCAAGCTTATTTCTGCATTTGTTTGTTTGTTTGTTTGCTTGCTTTCAGAAGACCCCCGGGAAAAAAAATCCCAAAAAACGGGGTGTTTTCTGTGTTTGTTTTTTTGTTTGTGTGTTTTGTTTGTGCAGCTCAGGATCTTGCTTTGGGGATGATGTGGCGAGGATTACATTGGCTCAGTTTAGTTCCGCACCGACTAGCGCCTTAGGGAAGTTTCTGCAACTTTTATAATCGCCTGTTTTGTAAATATTGACTTGAGTTGAGTTGAGCACGCGTGACCCAATCCTCTTTACCCCCTTGTGCATAGTGCATTTTTGGTCATCGAGGGCGATGCCAAAGTTTAAGTGTGGGGAAGTGAATTGGGCATTCGGGCAGTATTACATGTGATTATTAGAGTTAGCATGCGCAGGTGTTAGTTGTATATTCGTAGAAAAGTCATTTCAAAATTTTTGAATTTTTTCTTTAAACTGTGTCTTTGTGAACTGGCTAACGTTTTGACTATGCTTTTAGAATGTCCTTGAAGTGTTTAGGCTTAAATTGCTTGCATGATAACTTAGTTGTCGATAGGACGAAGGCATTAGTCACCCATTGTATGAACTGACAAAGTTCCCATTTACCTGAATAAGTTCCTATAAGAGAAACCATTTTGAGCCTGACCGTTCTTTGTTACCCAATTAATTGAGCTCCATAGCCAAATGGCCAGTGTTCCTTACCCGTGAATATTTCTGACTTAGTTTTGGTGTTTAGGGAATTAGGGGATTAATTTGCTAAGTTTAGGGAATTTGTGTAGGAGTCATTTTTGGCACTGTTCCTATGCCCCAAATGGGGTAAGAGCAGTTACTTTTTAGGAATATGATACTTTCGAGGATTGCATTGTAGGCATGGATTCACTTTGAAATTAATAAACTTTAATTGCTATTTTTCCTTGGTGAGGCCGAGATTAGAATGGGGTAATGTCTAGTGAGAATTCGAAAGGTGAAAAATTAATATAGCTAGACCTCTTACTTTGCGAAAAAAAAGAAAGGGAGCCCTGGTCAAAAAGCGTAAGATGAGACTTGGGTATCTTTCGAAAGAAACGGCATTCTCGTGCCAACATGACAAGGAAAACTAAACTTAATCAATGAACTTGGAGGCTATTGAAAAATTAGCTTTAGTCCTCCGCGTACTTCAAGTATACGTCAAAGCACAAATGTGCTGAGACGGTTTAGCTTAGTTGTACACCATGTCTACTCTTTGCATAGGTTTAAATGATTGTTCCTAAATTGTGGCCTACTAAGTTCCTTGTTCTTAAAAATAGCCCCGAAATTCCCGAATGCATTGAGTCTTTGTCAGGATGTTCCAAACTCTCAAAAAAAAAAGAGGGACTGATTTTGATTATCCATTGACCATTCACCACCACCTTAACAAGTCCTTCTGATCAATAGCTAGTTTATTTGTGTATGTTGTCACTAATTTGAGGATGTTGTGAATAAATTTGTCAAATAGTTTAGCTTGAGTACAAAGATGTAGTTTAGGGAAGAATTTTCTTGGTTTAGTCTGCCTGTTCTGTGAATATCCTTTTAACTACGTGTGCATGCTAATTATTTTAATTCTGTGTGGTGATTATCGTAAGTCCCGTTGTTCAGTTTGTTTGAGGACAAGCAAAGGCTTAAATGTGGGGGAATCTGATAAGTCCGTATTTAGACACACATTTGATGCATGTCGGGATTGGATTTTGATGGTTTTACTAGCTTTAAGGTGTTATAAGTCTCAATTTTAGCTCAAGTTATGTTTACCAGGCGTTGGTTCGAGTTTTGTGTCATTTGGAGTCAAAATCAAGAATTTAGAGTTCGGCACCGGCGCTTGAGAAGCAATTGGGATGAGTTGAGAAGCATTCGAGAGTGAATTGAGAGCAGTGGAGTTCAACGGGATGTTTACGATGAAGATTTGATGACAAACGAGCTCTAGGATTGGTTATGAGATCAAAAGAAGATGAATAAAGCTTGAAAACGGCATTCAGGATGACCTTCTGTCAATCGTTCAAGCATATCTCTTTGTAGAAGCATCCAAAGAACACGATTCAAAGTCCACATGAAAGCCAACTTCAAGAGCTACAAATCATATGAATACTTCATTCCGAGAATCTGAGAGGACGAAGATGAAAACAGACAATGAAGTCAGATCATCCCTGCTGCGATTTCAGAATGAGACCTTCCACCATTTTATTCATATCTCTTGATTGGATGATCCAAATCCAATTCGGAAAGTTGTTGTGGATAGATGACTTCATTATCTACAACTTTCATGAAGGAAGTTTGGTTCAATTCGGAAGTGTTACGCACGTGCGTGCGGGAACGCACGACCGTGCGTCTGAGGCGAGAAAGCAAGGAAGATACTGCCAGCAACGCACAGCCGTGCGTTGGGGGACGCACGCCGTGCGTTCCATATTTTTACGCGGCTATGCTCCAGACGCACTGGGGGACACACGTCGTGCGTTGCCCCTGGAATCCTAATTTCGCTCAAATTTCACCCGATTTTTCTATTTAAACAGCCGGTAAACCCCCGTTTTCAAAGGGGGGCTTAGAGAGAGTGCCTAGCACGAATTTTAGAGGGCTTTTCAGCCTTGTTCATCAATCTTTTGGGATTCTTTGTAAGTTCCACCTTTTTAATTAATGAAAATTAATTCTTTTTATTCCAATTCTATTGATTCTTCAATTATGAATTGTGAGTAGTTTTAATTAGGGATTTGGGATTGATGAAGGGGTTGATCATGATGTATGGCTAGATTCTTGATGGGTTAATTGCATGAATGCCGTTTAATTTGTGTTTGAATAAATTAATTGATATCTTTTGTAACCTAGATGGCCACTAGAATTACAATTGCATGTAGAATAAATTAAGAGAGATCTAATTTATTCTAGGACACATTCACACACACTTAATCGTTCGCTAAGAGATTAGTAGCGATTAAGGGGCCGTAAGCTCGCTCGTCTTGGCAATAATTTAGGATCCTGTCGCATGAGAGATCAGCCTGGTCCCCTAAATTATTGTACTCTACGTCGTGAGAGCGGTAAGAACTTAGTAGTGATTAACTAGGCTCAATTAAATTAATTTCATGTAATTACCCCGGAATCAATCCATGTTCCCTTCGTCATTAATTAGAAAGAACTCCCTAGTTTAATCGTTTTATTCGCAGTTTTATTTTCCAAACCAACCAATCTCGCACGACGCTTTTATTTTATTTTTTTTAATCGCTGAATTTAATTAATTCTTGATTCCCTTTTGTCCGTCCCTGTGGAGACGATACTCGTACTTACACCACTATATTACAATCTATTATAAGTGCGAGAAAACTCACATCATTAGTAAAAGCATTATCCCAACTATGGATAATCTGAGCAGGTCTAACTACGTCCTTAATCCTTCTATGTGTCCATTATGCAGAAGAAACATTAAAACCATATCATGAAACATGTTTTGTTTAAGTGCCCAGTTAGTATCCCAGTTTGGAAATACTTTTTGAGCATTTGTAGTATTTTTCAGAGAAATGGGATGGATTATGGAAATTTCCTATTGTGGAGGCATGGTATTGGAGAAAGAAATCTATTGGACCTTTTCATAAAGAACCTCCTGGCATCATTTGTTGGTTTATCTGGAAAACCTACTCTAATATTATTTGGGGGACTGGGGGAGACACTCCTAATTCAGATAAAAATCATTCTCCAAATTAAATTATACACTCAAGCTTGGATTTCTAGAATTTCTACTTCTAAATACAGATAAATTGGGGATGCTCTTGTGGATGAAGAAATTTCAAACATAAACATTTCAAGTTGCAGATAATAAGGTGGAAAAAACCGAGCAAGGATTGGAAGCTTAATGTTGACGCTAGTTACTTATCTTAGAAAGCTGTTGGCGGAGCTATTATGAGAGATGGAAATGGAAAATTGGGGTCGGCGATCAGTTTTCCGTTGCAAGCTTGCTCCTCTTTGGATGCTGAGCTTCGTGCGATATTCTTCGTTGTAGTGTGGGCAGTTGACCTCGGCATTGAGGGTTTTCAGGTAGAAACGGATTCTATGCTTCTGTTGGAGTATATCGCGGGCAAGGAAGGTCGAAGATGGGAGGATGAAATTCAGGCAACCTCGCAGATCTGTTTTAGGAAACGGGTCACCTTCAATCATCCGAGGCAGGATGGAAATTAGGCTGCTCATCACCTGGCCCAAATTATGGTGGACATCCCAAAAATTTACTCTCAGATTGATCAGCTTCCTATTTTTGTTAAACGTTCTTATTGGATGGATTTTTATGGCATTTCTTCTTTTAGATACTGAGATTTGTTTTATTTATTTATGAGGTAAGGTTTGGTCCCCCTGATTTTTTTGTACACTCTCTACATTAATAAAACTTGGTAAATGTTCCCTGACATTTACCCCACTGATTTTAGTGGTTGACCTTCCGGGGTAAAAACAAATAGTAAGGGCTAGCAGATATTTGGGCTTCAAACAAACACTGCCTCCAGGTACTTTAATAAAAAAAAATGACAAACATTTAGCGAGTAAGAATTAAATCATTTAAAATTTACGGTTTTGACTTAATTAGATCTACAATTGAATGTAAGTGTATCACAAGCACTTTTGTTCCAAATATTACCTAAAAGATAATATTTATAACAATAGGCACCAATCAATTTGGCTTCAACATGAGAGTTGCTACCAACAATTTTATATAAAAGTTAATTAACCATTTAGGCCGCCTTAAAATACAAAGAAAAAACCAAAAGAGGTTATTATAAAATATTGAAAACCTCAAAAGAAACTTCTTGTGGATATTAATTCTAATAGTAGACAAAACTCTACAAGACTCCTATGTGTGACATTTTAGTAATGCAGATCTCATTATCTTAGAGATTACAATACGTTGGTGTCACTATGTTTGGAATTCTAATTTAGTGACCATGGTTAGCAAAAAATAGTCATTGGCCCATCACGCATGATACAAACCTCAAATACATAAAGACTGTAACAAAAATATAGATCCGAATAGATCTATATATCCTCAATCAAGTCAGGTAAATCAATGTATCAAAACTAAATACTCTATCAAAGATTTGTATACATTAATCGATCACTCAAAAGATTTACATGACAGACATTCAACATCTTTTAAATTAAATGAGCACATGTCATAAATATCAAAATAGGTATGCAATGGACATGCGAGACATAACGTACATATATGTTATCACAAATAGAGGAAGTAGATATTAGAAATAAGAAATATACCAAAAAAGGAATCAACACCGTCCATGGAGTCTGATTCTCAAGCCATGATGGGAATCAACATATACCAAAGGACTTACCTGGAAGAGCGCCGCGAACCGAGGATCTTCCGGGACACCGACTAACACCATCCCACCTCCGTCTCCCATGAAGAAATGAAAGCAGACGAAGCTCTGCCGACGGTGACTCTCAGACCTCCTCAAACCACCGTCTCCAAACGCTCAGTCGCTTTGACTAGCAACGCACTCACGCCTCTCTCTAAAAATCAAACGAATGTTTGAGATTTAGGGCAACCCACTCATGCTTGACTTATTATGTTGGACGCAGAATGTTATTCCTTCGGTTTGTCCACATCCTGTCTCTTTAACCTGGCCCAACATCGAATTTCTGTGCTGCCTTTCTCCCTTTTGGGCTTTTATTTTTTCCTTAGGACCATGGCCCATCTTTTTCTCTACAATTGTCAATTCGACCTCTTACTTTAATAAAAAGGTAAGCGTTCCCCGACGTTTACCACATCGACAAAGTGGATTCTTGGTTTAAAAAAATGATGAGGTTGAAGTTGATCAAGAAATTCATCGAAAGGATTCAGAAATAAGAAGGGTTCATTGGTATAACCTGAATCTTCATAACGGCGTAGTGATGTTGGCAACGACGAATGATTAAGGTTTTTTTTATATTGGTAAATTAGGGTGCTGTGTTAGGTTGGACTTTAAATATATCTATAAGTGGGGCAGTTTAGAAATTACACACCATTGACACCAAAACCTTCCATCAAATGTTAACTCGGCTTACCAGAATGATCTTAAGGGCGCAATCTTCTTCCGAGACGCGGGTTAAACGACTCTCTCCATTTACCCCCCCCCCCCCCCCCCCCCCCACTCCCTTTCCGGGAATACGTAGGGGAGAGAATTTTAATGGGATAGTCTAAAACGGCACGTGACAAGCCCAGCTCATATCACAAAGTCAATTAAGTAACCAAAGATGAACTTGTCCATGAACAGTTCAGGATATCGAGTCAAAAGTTATGGCCAAAACAGTGCAGGACATCGAAAAGTTTTAATTTTGAACTTTGAAAAACTTTTCGAAGTTGAGATTCTCGAGGTTGAGTTTTTCGATGTTGAGTTGCGAAAACTTTTTCTCGATGTTGAATATCGAAAACCTTTTCTCGATATTGAATGTCAAAAACTTCTTCTCGATGATTGAATATCGAAAATGTCTTCTCGATGATTGAATATCGAAAACGTCTTCTCGATGTTGAATATCAAAAACGTCTTCTCGATGATTGAATATCGAAACCGTCTTCGCGATGATTGAATATCGAAAACTTTTTCTCGATGTTGAATATCGAAAAATTCTTTTTCGATATGGAATGTCGAGAAACATGTTTCCGAACTTCAAACTGCGAGAAACGTTTTTTCGAATTTCAATCCGCGAGAAACCTGTTTTCGAGTTTCAATCCACGAGAAACCTGTTTTCGAGCTCCAATCCGCGAGAAACCTGTTTTTGAGCTTCAATCCGCGAGAAACCTGTTTTCGAGCTCCAAGCCGCGTGATTACCCGCTTTCGCGGCGTTGTAGTAAAATGGAGTTTAACCCTTCCGGATGGAAAAGTTTATCCCCGAGTATCATGTCTCTGAGGAGTGGCGGAGGGAAGTATTGTTATCAATATCAGTCACCGGTTAGTATGAGTCATTGCAAGCTTTCTCAAACGATTAATTGTGATAATGATTAAGAAAATAAAATTAAACAACAAAAGTAGTAACTGAGAATCTAATTAAATTACATTAATGAGTAAACTAAAACTAGTGAACATGCAAAATAACTTGAGAGAGAAAATTAACTGATAAAAATAATAAACTAACAAACATATGGATGAGTAATGTTTCGAAAATAAAATACTAGAAGTAAATTCAATGTGACTGGTGACAATAAATTAACTAATTAAAAGTGGGGTCTAGATTTGGGATTAAGAATTTTGGGTGTCTTTTATAATGAATAAAAAATGGGAAATTTTCACCAATCTAGAGATACTAAAATATCAATTCTCATAGACAAGAAATTAATATTAATTCCCTAACATGTCCTATTTCTAGGCTTAGTTTAGGGTGTGTGAGATGTGGCCTAAAATTAATTCTTAAACTCATAGACAAGAAAGAGTTAATCTTCTAAAAATTAACAAGTAAAGTGATCAATTTCACAAATTACTTTTTCAATTTCATCTCAAACAACTAGTCCTAAAATTGGAGACTTTTCCCAAATTCAATTCAATATTCAATATTCAAGAACACCCATTAGCCTTAATATAACCAAATCCAAACCCCATGAAAATTTAGCCTAATAACATCCTTATCAAGAAACTAACACCATTAATGGAGGAGCAAAAGTAATACATTGAAACATAAGATTCAAGTACAATTTCATTCAACATAATAATAGTGCAAAATTCAACTTAAAAGTAGTTCCAAATGATAAATAATCCAAGAACGAAATTTAGAGCATATTCAAACATAAAATTAAAGACGAAATTTAACACAAAACCTTAACAACAAAGATTGAAAGATGAATGAACATGGAGTATGGCTGCGTTTTCCTTCCTGCTGCTAGTTGCTTCCTACGGCCCCTAGATCTGCACTTTTTTCCTTCTTGC